ATACACGTGTATGGAGGATGGTTCTAATGCTCTCCAGCTGTGCCAGCTGGCCAAAAATATCTGCAAAAATGTGACAAAGAGCAGCCGACCACTTTAAGTGGTCTCCCACAACAAAAACGGGTCGGCTAGGGGTAGGAGAAGTCTACACACTGAAAGAGGACCATAAAGGGGGGGTGCAATACATGGCACAAATGCATGAACCAACCATGGACAGAGCTTAATTAGGTCTAAACAAAGACCAAAACATGCTAAAATGGAGGCTCAAAGACCTAGGCATGCAAGCATATAAGCTAGGCCATAAGCAAGGCAACAATGCACAACACTCAAAGGCACTTAAAGAGTGAATGAAGTGGAACATGGAAATGCTATAAGCTCTGAAATGTTATGTTAAGTGATGCTAAATCATGTACACAACACAAATGAAGCATGCTATGGTACCCAAAGCTTGAAGCTAGCATGGGCATTTGTACTACAATTATGCAAAACATGAAGCATATGGTCGAGGCACCCCAAAACAGTCCTAGAACATGTCAAAATGATACTAAAACATGCATGGAAGGAAGCCAAAACAAGTTGACATGAAGGGCATAAGGCATGATGCATACAAGGCAAATAAAGTGGATTACACTATACCTATTAAGACCAAGCATGAAATGACTTAACCAACAAAAATTAGAGTTATATCATGGCAAGATAACCCCAAATACACATTGAAATGATAGCTCGCAAGCTTAGGCATGAAGACATACGCAATGGTTCATGTTAAGGCATAAAGGGGCAAACCCTCCGACGCATTGAATGAGTGAAAGATGCGAGTGTATGGCCATGAAACATGGACTGAAATCACATAATAAATGATGTCAAATCATTTAAATAATCCAAGTAAAGCATGCTAGTGGACTTGGTACACAAAGCTAACAAGCTAGATTGAACCATGGCTATACAAGGCCAGTCATGCATGGCCAAAACAACCTAAATCAGAGCTAAAGCATGTTAAAACATGGACAAAAGCTTCTTAAAGTTAAGCCAAAAGCATGCTAGAATGACATGTTAAAACATGATGCATGTTAGGCTAAATCATGGAAATGCACTACAAGTGCATGAAGCATGCAAAGGCCAACCAAACCAAACCTTAACAGAGGTATGACATGGTAAAACAACACCAAAAACATGCTAAAATGGACTCAACATAAGCTAGAAAGGCATGCTACTTCATGAAGCATACAAGACTAGTTTATGAAATTTACACTACAAGTGTATAAGGCATGCAAGAGCCAACTAAACCAACCCAAAACAGATCTAAGGTATGTTAAAACAACACCAAAAATCTACTGAGATGGCTCCAAAACAAGCTAGAAAGACATGCTCAAACATGAGGCACACAAAGCTAGTTTGTAAGATTTACACTACAAGTGTATAAGGCATGTATGGAATGACCAAACGAAGTCAAAACAGATCTGAGGCATGCTGAAATAACCCCAAATACATACAAAGAACAAGCCAACACAAGCTTAATAAACATGCTCAAACATGAGGCATATGAAGCAAGTATACAAAACACAAGGAGAGGGGATGACCCTCTCCTATTAGGGACCTCAAAACCACATTTCCACCACTAAAAATCCTCTGGATTTCAGTGGTAGAAAGGTCATGCAAAGTCTACAACAAGAACCTAGAGGGATGGCTCAAAACAAGGCCTAACAAGGCCTAAGAGGGGGTAGACAACCCCCAATGCAAAAGTGATCTTAAACAAACTTCACAAAGACTGAAAAATAGAACTCTTTGTAGTATAAAGTTAAGCTTAAATTAGCATGAAAATAAGGCTAAAAGCTTAAGCAAAAATGGGGGATTTAAGGGTTAGAAACTCACCCTTGAAGACCACCTTTAAAGCTTCAACTCCAATAGGTTTTTCAAGCTCAAACCAACCCAAGAACACCAAAACCAGCTCCTAAGCACCTCAGCAACAAAAGGATGGTGTTTGAGTGTGTGTTTGTGTGTTAAAGTAAGACAAAATGACACTTCAAGGCACAAAAATGAAGAAGAAGAGCAATATAGAGACAAAGCTATATGTATAACTCTCAAGCCAATTTTCTGAACCTGGAGGAGGGAGGAGTCTCCCTCTTATAGAGAACCAAAAGCTAAAGCTTCTCAAGGAAGCTAAGCTTCAAGGCCATCCCTCCATACACGTGTATGGAGGATGGTTCTAATGCTCTCCAGCTGTGCCAGCTGGCCAAAAATATCTGCAAAAATGTGACAAAGAGCAGCCGACCACTTTAAGTGGTCTCCCACAACAAAAACGGGTCGGCTAGGGGTAGGAGAAGTCTACACACTGAAAACAAGTAAGTGGTGTGGTGGCCAACCAGAAAAGGTGGCCCAAAGACCAAGAAAGCCAAATCCGACCAGAAAACTGGCTGGCAGGAGGAGAAGTGATCTCCAAGGGAAAAAACGGGTCTCCCACCTTGTACCACCTTTCAAACAAGGAAAACAAGGTTTGTACTAAAAAACAAACTAAAACGGATGCAAGTCGAGCGATCGGGAGGCAAAGCACGCGACCGAAAGCCTCGAAAACTAGTTTACTGGCACCAAAAACGGTATACGACCACAAAAGTGGTCTCCTGAACCATAGTGTTCCCCTAGGAAGAAGCAACAAGGCGTGGTGCAAAAATCACGCCAAACGGAGAACGTTAAGCGGTCCCGAGACAAGGCGCACGACCGAAGGTTCCAAAAATCTGAAGCTAGTCTCCAAACGGGAAAAGTGGCCTACGACCACAAAAAGATGGTCTACAAGACCTCTCCCTCCCTCTGGGAAGAGAAAACAAGATTCGGTCCACAAACCGATCCAAAACACAAAGAGTTCAGAGGCCCGGAGGCAAAGCTCTTAGCCAAAACTTTGAAACCTCGAAACGAGCGCAACATACACTATCACCGAGCGCTCAATCGATGATGTATGAGTCTTAAGGTCGGTCAAAAATGGGGTGTCTACAGTAAGCTTAAGGGTATGGTTGTCATGGAATTAATGTGTAGATGCTATTGTGTAATTTCTATTTCTACAAGGGGCAGAAATAGAAATTGTGATAGATAGTTAGTTTTCCAACTGCAAAAAACTAATAGATTGAAAACAACTAAACAAAGGGATAATAGTCGCCAATCCTACCAAGAGATATGCAAAAGGAAAAAGTTCTCTCTAATCCTCTCAAGGGAGAAATTCAAAGGCATAAACGTAAGGAAAGGATTGGAAGGCTATCCCATAATCACGCTTCCGTTCAATCATCACAATGGATTTGGGTACGCATCTCTCTTTGATTTCTTAATAATACACATAATACGCGATTCAATATTTTAGATTTTTGAGATTTACTTTTCACACTTAATACTTATAATTTAAATTTATACATAATTTTTAATATATTTATGAAATAATTAAATCATAGTTTTGATTTTGATTAAGGCCTGGTTTGGCATGTATAAAAAAAGACAAAAAGTCAAAAAATTACTCAAAAAGTTAAAAAGTTATCACTATTTACCAAAAAAAAATTAAAAAATTAATTTTACACACAAAATTACAAGTCAATCTGACCGATTTAGATATGTGGCTGTGTTTTTTAGGAAAAATTGCACAGTTGAGGTATAATTTTAACACACTGTTGTTCGGCCCGTTAGGGCCCATCATGGGTCTCGTTTTGATAATTTGAACCGTTTTAATGTGTAGAACTCGTCGAGTACTATATGTCTGTAAAAAATCGCATTGATCAGATATCGGTAATTACATGATCAAATTAGTTTTGTATAAAAAAATGGATGGTGTTATAATTAACGGTTGAAAAAAACTAATCTGATCAGATAGCTATCGATATCCGATCAACGTGATTTTTTACAAGCATATAGTACTCGACGAGTTCTACACATTGACGGTTCAGATTATCAAAATGGGACCCGTAATGGCCCCAACGGGCCGAACAGCACCGTCCAGTGCAATGCCTGAAAAGTAGTCAATCATTTCTTAGCATCAATTCATCTGCGCAGATAATACGGCCGTACAACTCACACTCCTAATTTTCTCCTATGCACTAATTTATACAATTTTTTTTTTATACTTTTTTCCATAAAAATTCAAAAAGTTAACCCAAACAATTATATTTTTTTCCTCAACTTTTTAGTCCAAAAAGTCAAAAAATACGCTTATTTAAGACACCCCAAATAACCCCTAACTAGACGATAAAATCAATAACAGTTAATCTTATTTTGTTTTTTTTTATTTACTCAACTGTTCAAGTAAATAAATTTTACTTTGGTCATTTTTTTTTTTAATTGCAATAATTAAATCCTTGGATTTCTATATGATCCTAGTGTAATCCCACATTACGGAATCTTAGTAAAAGTTGAAATATGAAGAACTAGAGTGAAAGTTGGAGAGTAAAAGTGTAATTTATTATATAATTTTCTTTTTCTCTAAGTCTTTAAAATGTATTTGCACAAGGGATGACAAAATTATCTCATTCCATTGTATTTATCTCAATTTGATTTTAATAAAAATATTTGGGAGAGCATAGATAGGATAGAATAAAGTACATGAATAATCCATCAAAATTGTAGATGTAGCCCTACATCACCTTAAACACTTGTGTTTGGTAGAAATTATTTTAAGTTAAAAGTTGATAATTAGAAAGTAGAAATTAAAAGTATTTCTCATCCAACTTCTAAAAAATTAATTAATTTTTTTTTTCTAATTTATTTAAGCTACTTCTATTTAATAAACTATAAACAAAAATTACACCAAACAATCTAATACAAACTCCATATTAAAATAAGTTATAAACTGTTTCTATAATTCGCACCAAATACCTTTGTGTTCAAGGTTTTAAAGGTGGTAAATGATAAGATGATGATATAGAAATATGAATATTTTTTAATTATTAGAATTAAAAAGTGAGGAGGGATTAAAGTGAAATAAGTGATAAAATTTAAGAGTAAAAAGTGTAATGAATCGAATTATATTTATATGTAATCCGTTATCTGTCTGGCTACCTGACACTGGAGAGGACTTGGGCTGGGTGGGTTTGATTCGCGACACTTTTCTCTGTTACTAAAGATGAGTGATGGGTAGCTGCTTCATCGAACCCAGCAATGCCGCAATTTCATACCTTCTTCTCAATTCTTCCAGCTCCTTCGCTGCATAGCCTTATCTACATTACGTCAAAACCATTATCACTATGTTCTGTCAACAATACTTTCTCGCCTTCCTCATCAATGTCTGGACGTTGTTTGTACAAAACACTGTCTACCCACAACTCCAAACCCATCCCCAATCTCAAACGACTCACTTCCCGAGTTGTCGAACTCACTCGCCGCCGACAGCTCCGTCAGGTTCTCTCTCATCCTCTAAATTAATTATGGAGGCATATGTATGTAATTTGAATTAATATTGTTTTTTAATTTACTAGATTTTTGAGGAAATTGAGGATGCCAAGAACCGGTATGGGAAGTTGAACATAATTGTGATGAATGCGGTGTTGAAGGCTTGTGTTCATTGTGGGGATGTGGATTCTGCTATTAGGGTGTTTGATGAAATGTCTAAGCCAGGGAGTTGTGGGGTTGATGAAATCACATACGGTACTCTGTTGAAGGTACTTGCAATGCTTTCTTGTGTGGTGCTTTCACCAACTTTTTTGCCGTATTTGTTTGCCTGGATTGCGATAATGGGAACTATATGGGTTGAGTTAGTGGGACACAAAGGGTATTATAACAAACAACTAAGAATAAGTTTCAAGTTTAGCTACATAAAAAAGTTGCATTTCATGTTTAATGAAATGTAATTAAGAATAAAAAATAATTTAGCACCAATTTAAGGGTCGTCACCTGGGTGACACATCACCCTAAACTGGTTAGGGATGGAATTGGGAAGTAGCACCTCTTACTAAAGGCCTCACCTAAGCTAAACAAATATGTTTGTGTGTAATCTTTAATGAAGTGTATTATTATTAAATTTCTTCATTTGGAATAATTATGCTAGTAGTTGCCACTTAATTTAGTGAATAAACAAATTCCCCCCCCCCCCCCCCCCCCCCCCCTCCTCTCTTCGTTACCATTGTTAGTCAGTTTTTGTAAAGTCCTTACGATAAAAATTGCTGAAAAATGCGTACTTAGTGATTAATTAGCAATTATGAAATACTTCAGATGTCATTTCTCATTAGTTTAATAAATGTGCATCGAGTGATTGCTTCAATACCCACGTCATCTACTAGGCCTCATTAACATTTTGGGAGCCAAGGTTGTATCATTTTTTTGCTTTTGCCTTTTATTTTACTGTTGTGGTCATTTATTGTCTCCCGCATATGTGGTTAAAAAAAAACATCTATCTTGAAGCATGATTGGCTTCTTCTTGTATGAAGGGATTGGGTTTTGCTCGAAGAATTGATGAAGCATTTCAATTACTTGAATCTCTGGAACAAGGTACTGCTGTGGGAAGTCCAAAGTTGTCAGCGCCACTCATCTATGGTCTATTAAATGCTCTTATAGAAGCAGGTTAGATTTATAGTTTGAAAGAAAATTAGATTTAATTTGTCGATATATAAAAAAAGAAAAAAAGAAAAAAGAGTTGTTTGTTGTATTTTCACAAGTGAAAAAGTGGATCTAGCTCTGATAATACCAATTAAAAAGCTAGAAATGAATATGTTTGTTCTTTTGGGGGTTGAATAGGCCAAACTCTTGAGCAAGTTTCCAATTTGAATTTACCAAGTGAATTATTTAATTCAATGCAGTTTGCTAATTCCAAATATCAATAATAGGCGTATTCCATCAACACAATATCTTAGAAATAAATAAATAAATCAGGACACGATGATATACGTGTAAACCCTTATCAACAACAAATCCTCACAGGGTGAAAAATCACAGGCACTCTTGCATGACAAAATTGCACTAGATTAAGAGTTCAGTACAACGACTCCTGTAAATGGTTTAGAACCCAAACTCTAGAGGTGTTAACTTTGATGTCTTCCCCTTCAAGCTTGCGAGTTCAAACTCTTTGAGTCTGCCGAGCCTCCTCTTGTCTAGATCTCCACTCCTTGTGACTCTAATCGCAATCAGCCAGTTAGTGGGAAGAACCAATGCACTAAGAGTGATCGGAGTGTGAAGTGCATATGAGATGAGTGGTTATTGCAAAACAGTTAGAGAAGAGTTTGTGAAATCTGTTAAGTCACCAATTGTCCCAAAAGCTTAAGCTGTTAGGGAATGGGCCCAACAATGAATCAAGCTATGCAACGCCCTCCCTCACTTGCAGCCCCATCTTGCACATGGAGTGACAAACAATGTCACCTACTTTTGGTATGTCGCCTACTTATTGGTCTACTTGATTGTCTGTCGCCTACTTTTTTTCCTAATGTCTAATCCACAGCATCAGTAGAATGAGAACTGGTCTAATTGATTTCACAGTTCCTTATTTGAAAAATGACGTTTCTGTGTTGCGAGTCTATGGCCAGGAGATGCATTGTCTCCAAACTCCAATGTTGGTCAGAAAAGAAAGAAAGAAAATTTATTGCCGATAATGCCTCCTAATTCTGCTGGCTTAGTGCAGGGGATCTACGTCGTGCTAATGGTCTTCTTGCACGCTTTGGTTTTGTGCTTAATGAAGGTGGCAGTCCATCAATCTTAATTTACAACTTACTAATGAAGGTTTTATTCTGACTTCTTGTTCTGTAAGACTAATAATGAATTTTTTTTACTTACATTTTGTAGTGTAAATATCTTATTGACTAAGTGTTGAGATATCATGAAAGGTATTATGTTTTAGAAACACAAGATTGATGACAAATTCTGATTTGTTTAGTGATATTCTTTTTCCTTCTTTCAGGGATACACAAACAAAGGTTTTCCTCTAGCAGCGTTACGTGTGTATGATGAAATGCTACGGCAAGGATTAAAACCTGATAAGCACACATATAACACCCTAATCTTTGCATGTGTCAAGGCTGGAAATTTTGATGTTGCTATACATTTTTTCAAGGAAATGAAGGTTTCATGGATGTATTTCAAAGGCCAGTTTAGAGGCTTAAAATTTGATTTCAATGTATAAAACAATGCAACTTGAATGAATAAACTTGAGATCCATTGCAGGACAAAGCGGAAAAAAATGGCCATGATGATCTTCTTCCTGATGCCGTCACTTACACAACATTACTTAAGGTAATTTGTCTGCTGTTACTTTACTGTATAGTATAACAGGAGGTTGATGAAAATTTTGCATCTGCAATCCAGATCATAGGTAGAATATTCTTGGAAAAATTTCAATCAAATGCTATATGAAACTATTGCATAATAGAATCACTTTCTATTAGTATGTAAGCAAACAATTTCTATCGTCCTCAATAAACTTGTCCTAACTAGATCAAATACTTTTTACTTACTAATATAGTGTACTGGCACACAATTTCTCTTCTATGCAAGACAAAAGGGAGAATCACAGGAAAAATATATGAATTAGGTCTCTCATGCCCAACTCCTCTCTTTAAATATAAATAACCACTAAAAATATATGGAAGGACCAAGAAATCCGTATTACATTTCCCATACTAGATACTCTTAACCTAGAGCTTTAATAGCCATGGGAAAATTATACACAAACATAATCTTGGAAAATTATACACAAACATAATCTTTATACACACCAAACAATGTGAGTCCCACTTATGTTGACATAATCAAACAATTGTTGAAGTTTGAGACTTCTAGACAATCTTTGGAAGCTGCTCAACTAATCAAAACAGCTCTAATAGCTGCAAAATTCTCTGATGTTGACCTAATCAAAGTCCACATGAATTAACAGTTAGGACTTGGGAGTTTGGCATACAAGTTGAAGCTGTTTTGATTGGAGACATAACTGAAGTAAACAAGCCAAACCATCTGAGTTCTACCAATGGTTGTACAGACTGCACTGATTGTAAACCATACAGACTGTACTGATCTCATGGGGATAGGCCCTCCACATGACTAGAGAAAACTGTACGTTATTTAGAAGGATAACTTTTATCTCTGTAGATATATACACAATAATGATGCATAAAAGTACAAAAATATCCATTGCATGTGTCATACTTAACATCTTTTTATACTTTATTTGATTACAAGCGAAAATGATATTATAATGAGGAATGGATTTTTAAGCATCATTTTAAACATTTTCTAGTGGGTTTTCATTTTTGTTTAATTCAAACTTCGGCACAAAATTTGTCTCTCATCTCTCATATTTATATATATATATACACATATTTAATTTTATTTTTGTTGTTTTTTTTTTTTTGGCCTTTTGCGGTGGTAAGTAGAGATATTTGTCTTCTGCAGGGATTTGGGCATGCCAAGGATCTTTTTTCAGTTCAGACGATTGTGCTAGAAATGAAATCATGTCATGTCTTGTTTATAGATCGAATAGCGTATACTGCTATAATTGATGCATTGCTTGATTGCGACTCGATTAAGGGTATTATTTTTATATTTTTTACTGTATTACATTTTCCCATTTACGCAAGTAAGATATGATCATGAGATCTATCAACATCATTTCTCTTTTATTAACTATCATATTTTTTTTTATCTGATATTAACTATCACATTGATATGTGGATTTTATCCTGCTTGCAAGCTAGGTTGAAGCTTTTCTCTATTTTCAAATAGTTTGTGTTGTCACTGAAAGATTGATTGTATAGACAGATGCAGATTGGTGACAGCCCTTCTGTTCCCTTTAAGAGAGAAATCGACATAAATAGTTTCTTTTTCTTTTCTTCCCTTCTCTCTCTTGTAGTGAACTTGTCACTCTTCCAGATGTCTTATTCTATTTCTTTTTCTTTTTTCTCTTTGGCTTTTGGTTATATTATTTAAGTTTGCTTTTTAATCCAACCTTTCTAGTGTCCATATTGCAGATTGTCTATTGTGAGTTGGATTGTGTACTAAATTTGATCAGGACGTATTGACCTGTGGTTATCAGCAATACTAAGTCTTGAATTCTTCTGCACTTTTTCTTCCATTGATTTAAACGTCTGCTTGAATATTACAGAAAATATATGTTGCCAGTTATCAAGATAAAACGATAAGGGATTAGAAGGGGAAAAAAAGTGGAAGAAAAGAATGAATCTGTTTCTTTTACCCAGCCCATTTAATTAGTTTAGGCTTTTACCTTAGTGCTTGTGAATTATTATTGTAGTAGTTTATATTATTCAGGCCTCGTTTGGCAAGAGGCTATTTTAGCCAAAAAGCCAACAACTCATACCAAAAAGTCAAAGATTCCCTTTTCTCTCTACTTTTTGCACATCTTTTCGTAAAAAACCAAAAAGTCATCCCAAACATACTAGTTTTTTTTACATCACATTTTAGCCAAATAGCCAAAAAGTTACTAAATTAGCCTGTTCCCAAACGAGGCCTCATTAAGGATAGTTTAGTCCTTTAGGTTATTAGGGTTTTATCCTATTAGATTATATATTTGTACTTAGCTTTCGATTGATCAATGTAATCAAGATACAAGTTTCTTCTCTATTATCATGGTATCAAAGCCAAGTTCTAGATACTAGCATACCTTTCGCAGGTCATCATCGACCATCGCAGCCCTTTTCTCTCTCTTCGCAAGGCCTTTGCTGGGTTCTTTGTCCTGTTCGTCGCAGGTCATCTGCTAGTTCTGGTCTCTAGGTTGGTTCGATCGATCCCTCTATGCGACTCTCTCTTTGTCTCACCCTCTAGTGCACACGATCAGCGTAAGGTCTGACCTTGACGCTCATTCTTGCTCCAGACTCTGAAATCGACTGCGATTTCTGGTGTCGACTTCAACTTTTGGTATTTGGTTCAGTCTCTCTCTCTCTTCGTTGCCTTGGTTCTCTCTCTGTTTGATATTTGCGGGTGTTAGGTTCACTATAAGTTTGGCCTAACTTGTTCTTTAATTATAGCAATAGCAACTCTGGTTATCTAATAGTTACTCTGTTTTGATTTTACTATGTTGCTTAACTATAGCACTATGGCGGCTGATGATAAATTGCAAGCTATTACCACTAAGTTAGATGGTATCGATTACTCTTATTGGTCTCATGTAATGAAAAATTTTATAATGGATAAAGGCATGTGGAACTATGTTATTGGTGTGACTATTAGACCTACAGAATCCCAAGAACTGAGGCTGATGTTGCTAAATGAGATAAGGAAAATGCACAAATTCTTATTTGGTTTCATAATTCAATTCAAACTGCCATTGGTATGAATTTTTCCAAGTATTATACTTCTAAACAAGTTTGGGACTATTTGAAAACTATGTACTTTGAGTTTAACTTTTGTAGAAATTTAATGTATAAAGAGAAATATCGCAGTGCTAGTCAGAAAGATAAGTCCATTCAGGAGTTCTACAATGAGATGGCTACTTATTGGGATCAACTTGCTTTGATGGAACTATCAAATTTGCAGTTACTTGACAGTTATATCAAGTATCAGGAAAAGCAACGTCTTGTTCAATTCCTTATGGCTCTTCGTGATCAATTTGAGCCACTTGGGGGAGCTATTTTTCATCGGTCCCCTTTGCCTTCTATGGATGGTGCTGTTCGTGAGCTTATTGCAAAAGAAACTCGGTTTAAGGTGGCTCATGGTGCTCCTACTTCCTAGTCAGTTTTTGTCACTCCTCTGCTCTTGCCCACCCCACCTTCTCCTTTATTTCAGGTTACTGGTAAGCCTAAGCCTCAGGTTTCCATGGATGAGTGCAGCTTCTGTCGTCAGAAAGGCCATTAGAAACATGCTTGTCCGAAATTTTTGTAGCCCAAGGGTCGTTCATCTGGTCCACCATCCTCTAAGCCTACATCTTCGGGATTTCACTCATCTGTTGCCTTTTCTGCACCAGTTTGTAAGAATGGTCCATCTTCCAATATGCAGTCTATGTTTGAGCAGTTCAAGTCTTTTATGATGGCCAATCCAAATCTTTCGTCCCAGGCCTCCGCTATGACTACCACTCAGTTAGGTTTGTCTGGTTCATCATCTTCAGGTAATATCCACACTTCGTGGGTTTTTTATTTCGGTTGTTCACATCAAATGACCCCTATTGCATCTCTTCTTAGTAATTGTGTCTCTCCTTCTTCTTCCATCACTATTGCTACCGTTAATGGTTCTTTTATGCCTGTGCAATCTATTGGTTCTATTTTCTCTTCCTATTTTTCCCTTTCTCCTGTATTTTATGTGTCGTACCTCTCACTCGGTCTTATTTCTATTAGTCAATTATCTGATTCCGGTTTTGATGTTGTTTTCTCTTCTTCTCATTGTGTTATGCAGGATCAGGTATCCAAGAGGTAGATTGGGATCGAACGTAGAGTTGGAGAACTATATATTTTGGACAGCTTGCATGTTCTTGTTGTGTCATTTGTGTCTTTTTAGGGTATGACATTAATCAGAAAGGTTATCGGTGCTATGAACCTGCCACCAAAAAGCTATATGTGTCTAGGCATGTCACATTTTTAGAAAAACTATCGTACTACACTATACCTTCCACCCTGTCCCTATTACCAAGGATGAATTAGTTCACATTGACCTATTTCCTCTTTATATTTCTCCTGATGAGTTTGTTTATGATCTTGAGGTCTCTACCTGGCCTCTTACTAGCACTTCTGATATCTCGCCAGCTACTCCCTCCCCTGCTCTCGCTCCCTCTCCAACTCTTGTTTCCCCTGCTTCTCTTCTTGTTTATCAGCGCCGCAAAGCACTTCCGAGCTCGCCTGTCTCTAGCTCTACTGTCCCTTCAGCTGTTTCTTTGGATCCTGCTTCTCTTGTACATTGCTTTCCAAAGCAAGACCGTCATCCTCCAAACTGGTATGGTTTTAGTAATACATGTTTTTTCCTTTCCTATCAGTCTTTTCTTTCTTGTCTTCGTACTTATTTTGAGCCCAGGTCCTACAAGGAAGCTTGTCATGATCCTAATTGGATTGCTGCCATGAATGATGAGTTAACTGTTTTGGCTAACACTCAGACTTGGGATTTGGTTCCGTTACCTACTAGTAAGAATGTTGTAGGCTGTAAATGGGTCTATAAGGTCAAAACCCTTTCTAATGGTTCTTTGGAATGGTACAAAGCTCTTTTGGTTGCCCATGGCTTTTCTCAAGAGTATAGGATTGATTACGATGAGACTTTTGCCCCCGTTGCCTAGATGACTACTGTTCACACTCTTATCTCTGTTGCTGCTACCCATCACTGGCCTTTGTTTCAACTAGATGTCAAAAATGCTTTTCTGAATGGGCATCTTCCTGGTGTTGTTTGTCATCTTCGCCGTGCTGTATATGGTCTCAAGCTGTCTCCTCGTGCTTGGTATGAGCGATTTCACTCTATTGCACTACACCTTGGTTTTCGCCCTAGTCATCATGATTGTGCTCTCTTTGTTCGGCGCATTTCTATTGGCCTTGTTCTCCTTCTCTTATATGTGGATGATATGATCATCACTGGCTCTGATTCTAGTACTATTGAGGTAGTTAAGCATCAATTGTTTTAGGAGTTCGAGATAAAGGATTTGGGGTCTCTTCGGTATTTTCTTGGTATTGAGGTTGCTACTTTTCCTACTGGATATCTTCTCTCTCAGACTAAATATGCCCATGATATTATTTCTCGTGCCAATCTCATCAATGACAAAATTGTCGACATTTCTCTTGAGTTGCATTCTAAGTTTTCTATTTCTAATGGCGTTCCGCTTGAGGATCCCACTTTGTATTGCGAGTTGGTTGGGTGCCTTGTTTATCTCACTGTTACTCATTCGGATATCTCCTATGCTATACACATTCTTAGTCAGTTTGTTTCTGCTCCTCGTTCCACACACTGGGCTACCTTATTCCGTACTCTACGCTACCTTCGTGGCACTTTATTGCAATGTCTACTGTTATCTGCCTCTTCGGACTTGACTCTCCGTGCCTATGTTGGCTCTAATTGGGCAGGTGACATTTCTGATTGCAAATCCACTTCTGGTCTTTGTGTTTTCCTTGGCGATTCTCTCATATCCTGGAAGAGTAAGAAATAGTCTGTTATTGCTCGTTCCACCGCTGAGGCTGAGTATTGTGCCATGGCTCATGCTACTTTCGAGATCGTTTGGCTTCGGTGGCTTCTTTCTGATATAGGTGTCTCTCTTTCTGATCCGACTCCATTGCATTGTGATAATCAGAGTGCTGTCCAGATTGCCCATAATTCAGTCTTCCATGAGCGGACCAAGCATGTTAAAATAGATTGTCACTTGGTTAAATAGCGTCTTCAGGCTGGGACTATTACTCTCTCTTTTGTTCCCTCCTCTCTTCAGTTGGCCCATTTTTTTACGAAGACTCACACTGTTGCTCGTTTTCGTTTTCTTCTTGGCAAACTTTCGATGCTTTCTACCATCGCATCCTCAGTTTGAGAGGGGGTGTGAATTGCTAAGTCCACATGCATATTCTAAAAAAATGGGAAATTCTTAATTCATCAGTCCTTGACCCTAATATGCTGGTGTCAGTGATTCTTTTACACATGGGACAGGAGGTTGTTGACTTAAAAAGCTAAGGAATGCCTGGATTGCAGCACCTTTATGTTTGATGTGGTGAATTTGGACGGAGCACAACTGCCACAGTTGGGAAGAAATAGCGATGCTAGTACATACACGTAAAACATCATTACTTCTTACTTTACACTTTTTGCTTAGAGGAAATTTGCGTGAATTCTCCTTTTCTTTTTTGCTTAGAGGAAATTCGCGTGAATCCTCCTTTTCTGTTGTAAATTTCATTTGGTGAGCTTAGCTTAAGAGCAGGGGTTTTGCCCTTATGCTCTTTTCTCATTATTTCCTTTTTTGTATGCTTAACAATCTGTTTCAGTTTGTAATGTGCAACAATGCTATTGTCCCCTCTACTCATTCACTCCTTGTATGCCATATGCTAGATGCTCTTTGTGTATTTGGAGATATATTAAAACAAGCTGGTGCAAATCCTGAACTGCGGCCCAAGCCTCACCTCTATCTTTCCTTGATGCGTGCTTTGGCTTTCAAAGGAGAATATTCTATGGTAAAAAATCTGCATAAGCGCATGTGGCCAGATAGTTCTGGTACTATCTCCCCGGCAATTCAAGTTGAAGCTGATCATCTTCTCATGGAGGCAGCTCTAAATGATGGTCAGGTACCCTATATCTATTTACAAATGGTCTCAAACAGTTGGGCTTCATCTTTGTCAATAATGGCATGGATGTCAATAGAGGAAATTCATTGCAATTACTTTTAAAATTTTGTAAAATAGAAGCCAGCTTAGAATGTCCTGCATGAAATAATACATAGAAAGCAATCTTATCAATTTAAAATGCTAGTGATCCAAAAAGAACGAATAGAGTGGTTATCTATTTACAAATATATGTTACACAATATATGAGAGAGAATCATATTATTTATAAATATAAAGTTACCATACATTACACAATCTTAGCTTGCATTGTTGTGCTTCTGCCTTGCATATAAGTGTGTGCCTTTTATATGGAAAGCAATAACTCAACACTTGCCCAGACATGTAGCTTCTAGACGGTACGCAGCATCTGGTTCTGCTTTTTTGCCAATTGTGTAGTTTTCATTTTGATTAGCATTGTGTCAGATCAATGAAGCCGTGCAAAATCTGTCAAATATCATGAGAAGATGGAAGGAACTATCATGGACAACTCGGGGAGGAATGGTATGTAGTTTTTCTACTTTCTATATACGCTTGTGTATATATTTCCTTGGCTTTTTTGAATGCCAAAAATTAAGAAGAAAATAGATGCTTTACAAAAGATAACCTGATGTTGAGAACATACTTCGCATCAGCACTTCCTGATGTCAATAGCATAGTTAAAATTCGATGGTTTCGCCGACCGTATGGCTATTTGGTAATTAAATTTTTTTAATGTCCTTTTCAATGAGTCTTGAGCATATACAGTTTGGTGTAGTTATTAAAGTGTCTTGCAGTATATCAATTGTTCTTCCTTTACACTAACCTATTATTTATTCTTGAAATATCAATACCAATTTGTTTACAATGAGTGTAGGTTGCTGTACGGATTGAAGCCTTGCTTGGTATTGCAGCATCCATGTTTAGTCCTTACCTACTTCCTCAGGTATCCACTTAATCTTAGCACTCATACTGTAGCAGTATATGGAATGTCCCTAAACCATACTCTCTGTCTTGTGTCGGAGACCACACATACCAAATGTGGGAGCTGATTGAACAACTAAAATCATTTGATCTTTTTGTACCCTCTGGACAGAATGATTATCTATAATCTATATACAGAACTGATAATTACAATAACCAATTATGATTTGTCCAGCTGAATAGAAAATGCTTATTTTCCATGCATCATTTTACATTCATCATATTTAAAGGCTTTGTAGCCACTGCACCATTGTCCTTGTCATGTTATAATCATGCAAATTACGTGTTTGTGATATGCTTGACACCAATATGATTAGGTATCGGTGGGTGAACCAATTGAGTGCATCATGACACCATTTGAAGATACTTTGCCACTGCGAGCTAACTTGGACTTGAAGAAAGTGGTAATGCGATTCTTCAGGAATCCAATTGTGCCAGTCATAGATGACTGGGGATGCTGTGTAGGATTGCTGCACCGAGAAGACTGCAACAAGGTACTTTCTCTTTAGTTTCAGTGAGTTATTCTTAAAAAAATTCTAAGTGCACAGAATTCGATCACGAAATTGAATGCAACCGTCTCACATGAGGTGAGCCCCACCAAACGTGTATGTCCAATGTGAGAGGGTTGTGTTTGGTTCTGTGATGGGATTTTGTAAACGTAGAAGAACTGCTATTCTTAACTGTGTAAGTTGGTAACAGCCAGAGGAATTATTTTGCATGAGCAATTTAGAAGCTTGCTCTACTGGCTTAGTCATGATAGATTTGGACATTGTGGTATATATATTGTTCATTTTTGTGCAGTTAAATGCCCCACTTTCATCGATGATGAGAAGCCCGCCTCCTTATGTTACAACCTCGACATCTGTTGGTCGTGTGATTGACCTAATGTTGGAGAAGGGCTACAAAATGGTGGTCGTTGTAAATTATACTGGTAACTTTTATGGTACGTCTTACAACTCAAGTTTGAGGCCAGTTGGTGTTTTTACATTAGAACAATTAGATAAGCTTGCTATTATTCCTAGCATCCGTAGTGACATGGCAACAGTTTCTGTCTGTCAAAGTTCATTGTAAAGGTAAACTAGACAATTTTTCCTCCTTTCCCTGCAAATGATTTTTTCTGTTAGGAATTTCCGTTCAAGTCCTCACCCTTGATGGTTGTGAACTTCTGCTGATTTTGGTTATTAAGCAATTGTTAGTCGTTGAAATGTTGTTCTCATCTTCTTTGTTATGCCATTTGCCATGTTGTCGATGAGAACAAGTTGCGCACTTTTTGAAGTTTTGACTAAGATCATATAAATTTCACACACATAAATATGCATGATGCATGTATGTATGTTTTTGTATGTGGATGTAGATTGTGTGGATGATTGAAATTGTTGCTTTCTATTTTTATCATTTAACAATTTCATCAAAATTCCTTGTCATTGGACATCCGCAAGTGATTAGTCGCGGGGAAATCAAGCTCGATGGTGATCTTGATTAGTTCAATGGTGGTCTTGACAGTAATTCTTTCAGTGGTTCGAATCTTTGTATTTGATTTTTATTATTATCATTACCATTTATTGAAATTTTAACTTTATGAATTAAATGCCCATCTAAAAAAAACTTGTATGAATTAAATGAAAAATATAATAAAAATAAAAATAATTTTTTATGGGCTGCCCAATAGGGTCCACGGCTGTTGTGCTCACCCGCGGACGCGGATTGAAGAATCTAAGGAACACCGCGTCTCCCTTCCGTGTATTATATGTATGGATATGGACGCATCTAAGTGCGAAAAGACCAAAGACTATTATTATTATTATATCAAGATTTTTTCAATTTTTATGTGCCTCTAATATTATTGATTTTTAAAATTCAGTAGTGTTTAAAGGAGATAATTAATTGATGATTAAAAAAAACATGAGAGAGATATTTTTAAATATGTAATAAATTCTTATATCATTGAATTTGAAAAGGAAATTTAAATTTTGAGTTAAAGTAGCACTATTACTATCACTATCACGTGTACAAATATCAATGTGTTAACTTTGTGTTTGATTTATAAATTTATGAAGGAATTTATAAGAGGAATGAGAAAAATAAACAAAATGTGAATGAAGGATAATTATATTTCATACAATTGTTCTATTTTTCTTTTTAAATTCTCACACAAATTTATGAATCAAGCATAATGCAAATGACATTGGGTTTAGAGGGAGTTGGGATGCTGTTGTGCGATTCTATGAGCTTATTTTGAGATTCATTTTGATAATTCGAACCGTTCATATTTTAGAGTATATCAAGTAGAACATACCTGTAAAAAATTAACTTAACCAGATATCGTTAATCATTTCATTCACTTACATTTGTATCTGCAAAAATAAATGACATTCCATATGCTTGGTTCTATTTTTCTAAAAATAATTTTCAGAAATTTCTACTTTCTTATTTTCCGTGTTTTTTTTATTTTTATTGAATTTTTTTAACATTTAAATTTTTTTTTTTTACTTTTTAGACATGCCTAACATAATTATACTTAAAAAGTAAAAAATTTGTGAAAAAAACCTTTTAAAAATTCACTAAATACTAAAAATACAAAAAAAATGAAAATTATGTATATTTTTTGTATTTTTATGTATTTATTAATTTTTTAAAATATTTTTTCACAAATTTTTACTTTTTAGATACATCTAAGTAAGGTGCATCTAAAAAAATAAAAAAAAATGTTTAAAATGTTAAAAATATTCATTAAAAACAAAAAAATACGAAAACCAAAAAAACTTAGTTTTCAAAAAACTTAATCAAAAAAACTCAAACCAATATATAATTATTTTATTTTTTCTCTCACAATTATCAAATCAATTAAAAAAAATGCTTGGTTTAGAGTTTTCCAAAACACTTTTCAGAAAATTCTACTCTCTTATTTTCCGTATTTTTTTGTTTTTACTGAATTTTTTAAATATTTTAAGCAATTTTTTTACTTTTTAGACACAGCTAACATAAATACACATAAAAAGTAAAAAAAATTATAATTTTTTTTAAAAAAAATTCACTAAATACCAAAAATATAAAAAATATATAAGAATTCAGTATATTTTTTTATATTTTTATGTATTTATTAATTTTTTTAAAAAAAATTTACAAATTTTTTATTTTTTAGATACATCTAAGTAAGGTGCATCTAAAAAAGTAAAAAAAATGTTTAAAATTTAAAAAATATTCACTAAAAATACAAAAATCAAAAAAATCAATTTTCAAAAAATTTCATCCAGAAAACTTAAACCAAACACAGTGATTATTATCCCCAATAATTTTTTTTTAACCAAATTAAAATATCTAAAAAATTAATTAAAACAACTTATTCCCAAGGACCATTATCAACTAAAACCGATTTCCGAGTGGGTTCGAATCTTCTAGATTCTCCCGTAAATTTGTTTCACCACATCCAATTCCCTTTCCCTTTTTGTTTTGACCTTTACTCTTCTTTCTAGACCAGGCCAGTTCCTTCCAGGCTCGGCCCCTCTCTCGCTCTGTTTATATATATATATATACACAAACACCTGGTTGTTGATCAATTCAATCGTTATCTAATACCGAACCCAATTCCGGCAAATACATAAACAGCAATTGATCGTTGATCGAGCTAAAGAAAGTACAGAGCAGAGCCTAATACATAGATCGAGCTAAAGAAAGTACAGAGCAGAGCCTAATACATAAACAAGAAGAGAGTTACAGAGAGAGAGAGAGAGAGAGAGATCCTCAAAATCAAGATAAAGATGTGTTTGGTATTTGTGTGCGACGAAGAGGAGAGGGTGGTGGGAAGGCAAGCAGCACCAGGGGCGTGTCCGTACTGTGGAGGGATGATACAAGCCATGGACATTCAGAGCCAGTGGAGTTTCTGTTTCCTCCCTCTGTGTTTCAAGACCAAACGCAAATATTGCTGCACTCTCTGCAACCGCCGTTTGGTCCTCCAATCTTAATATCTTTCTTTCTTTCTTTCTTTCTTTTTGCTTCTTCTTTTTGGCAGTAGTTGTGTATTTATTTATTTGTATACTTTTAAGGGAACAATTCTGTGTTATGTATAATACTAGAATATTATTATATTGTGTTTGAATTTCTGGGTTCCTTTTCATATGTGTCTAAGAAATGTTCTTGTATTTGTTTCATTCATTTTTTTATACAATTAAAGGAAAGATGACTGGAGAACAAAAGCTTTGGTTGATTTATATTTTACTTTACAAACTTTTTATATTTTTTTTTCCAAATCCGTTCCGAACCAAACACGCTTGTGCTGTTTTTTATTGGAGGATTTGGGGAGTGATTTTGAAAGGGAAAGGGAAAAGGGGTGTGAAATTATGTGAAGTATATGTATGATTTATTCACATTTCATTCATCTTTTTTATTTTCAAATTTCAAATTTCTCTCCAAATTTCCCGACACAGCATTAAGGGAAAAGTGTTCTTGTTTGATCTTTTGATTGACCGAATTTTTACAACTCCATATGATCAGTTTTTTTTTTTGCTTTCTTATTGTATGATTGTCATAGATTGTGCGTATCAAGCACCGTACTAAATGAAGTGAATCAGAGTTTTGAGATTGAATTAGACTGTTCAGGAACTGGGACCTGCAAAATAGAGCACCATTAGAGTTGTTTTGCCAGGGTTGGCTTGATAACCTCTTTGGGGTGAGGATGAGTGATTAGAGAAATGAAATATTCTCTCTAGGTGTAGAGAGAGAGAGAAAAGTATGTTTAACTTTAATGAGGTTAGTTGGTAGAAAGTAAATGAAATATCTTCAATGTGAAAAGAGTGTTGTTTATATAGAAAGCTTAGTTTGTTCTTCCAGGTCAGGTGAGGTGAGGTGAGGTGAGGTTAGCTTAGTTTGTTCTTCCAGGTGGGGTTCATGGAATTTGGGTGTCTCAAGATTTTCTTTATCATTGCTCACTGTAGAGAACCACAAGGTGGTTAACTATGGAGTCATATGCTCATTATAACCATACATATAATAGATTACATTTTTTCCATCAACTGATTTGATGATTCTAGGAATGGGAGGACCAACTGAGATAGCACTCTATACATATATTTGTATTCACAGCTTTCATGTTTACTTAAGGATTCTTCAGTTCGGCTCCGATCATACCTCAATTCAATTCGGCCTTTCATGAGGTTGTTCGTAGAGATGGGTTGTCCTATTAGATGGCCTCATGTGTGTTTGACCCACTTCAATTCTGTCGATGGGTTCGGCTCACCAATTCGGCCGAAACGCTTAAAGACTTGGGGAGATAATTCATGTGGAGATGGGCTCAATGATTTGGTTCACGTGGGTATCTATCTCATATCGGATGACCATTTGGATTTAGGCTTAGTGTTTAGACTGGCTCAAGGCTTGGATTTGTTTCATGGATTATGTGAATGGTGTTTCAATGGCTACCATTTGCATCTCCTTCATGTTCTTGCTTTGCTAGCTTCCCCTCTTCAGCTCCAATCTGTACTCGTTGTTATTACTTGTACGGGGAGAAAATAATTCTCCTCGTATAATCCTGTTGACCAAGTCCACGCTCCTCCGTACGACGTCGCTTTACCACCTGAAAACACAAACGTGAGCTAGCCGGCGGGTGTGTGCCGGAAACCTCTCCGATGCCTAAGTCAGTAAGCTTGACAAATAGACAAAGTTGTATGTTCTCAGAAAGAATTGTGTTCAATTACCTCCTCCAAGGTGATGCTTGTGAACTTTTTTAAATTTTCAGTGGCACAATCCTAGTAGGACTTGTATTTCTCCATGCAGAGTCCTCCTAGGATTCATACTCCTAAGGATAATGTTTATCATTTTACACCCTCCCCCACTGCTTAAACCAAGTGGGATGGTTTTCACTATGGCTGAACTACCACTTGACCGAAGTAAAATTGGCTATGCTGAGCCACAGAATAGGCCGAGCTATCCTTGGCTCGGCTCTCCCTCTACTCCTCCTTACCTCGGTTTTCACATGTACAACCCATGGTACGGTTTTAGACCGAACCAATGACTTTCAGCCGGAATGACTCCAAGACCGGCGTAGCTCTAGGTCGTTCCTGGACCGAAGTATTTTTTTACAGTCACTGTGCCAAAGTAACTTTATCTACCTCAGGCCGGAGTAGCCTTGCCTCTCTTGGGCCGGAGTAACATTGCGGCCTTCCTTGGGCCGGAGTAATGTTACGGCCTTTTTCACCAAGTTTTTGGCACTTTGGGCCTCAAAGCCCATCTCATAGCTCGGCCCAATTTTTATCAAAAATTATCCTCTCAATTGCCCCTTAATTCCATCTGCACAGCATGATTGAGATTATCAGTCCAACCGAGCTGAAGTTATTAAGCCTTTCCAGCCGAGCTAAAAACCCTTTAGCCTCTCCAGCCGAGCTAAATTTACTTCGGGCTTCACTTTGTCCGGTCAAAACGTCTCTTCAATCACGACTGTAACGCTTCCCTTTCCGTATACACGTGGCACGCCCCCATTCGTAGAAGGCAGCTGTCAACGCCGTCTTCGTGTTTCGTAATTTTTGAACAGTTCCCGCCCTCTCTTTCTTTCCACAAAACATTCATTCTGCCTTTGAACCATTCACCTTCACTATTCTTCGTCTTCTCTCTCTGTGTTCTTGCTGTTCGTGTTCTTCCTTTACTTCTGAAAACTGATTTTGCTGCCACTTTCCCATCATTAGATCCCTCTTCTTCCACCTGCTAAGTAGACTCATCTTGCTTCCTTTATTTTACTTTTCGTATCTGTATAGTTTCGTTTTGTAAGCTTTTTGCAAACATTTTCTTCCATTTGTCGCTTCGCTTCTGTACTTTCACGAAAAAATAATAGCAGAGCTCATACGTGCATGAACTTCTGTAAAAAACTAGCCTTAGATCCAAAATTGGGTAGCAACCGAACTAGGATCCTGTTTGCCCTAAAT